AATTATGAAACATCTTTTATTATTTAGATAATCAAAGTAATGATATATCATACCATAAACTTAGCCTCATCAACAAGGCACTTAAAAAAGCCTTCAGTCATAAAAGCACATACTTCATCAAGAAACTGTTTTCTAATTTTAGGCAAGATAAACCCTCCAAGTAGCCTCAGAAATGTATATAAAATTCTATTATGAAAATCCATATCTATCAGTTAGTAGATTTACAAGCATAGCCCTCCTAATCTCTAATTTAAACAAATAGTCATGGCAAATCAATGACAAGCCAAACTGTCTTCTGACTTGGGCTAAACCACAATAAGACAAGTCTCTAGGGAAGCAATTACAGTTTTATGGAAACCTTTAAGCACAGTCTGGCCTACCATGAGGACTTAATTAACAACTCTTGTTCTTCCTTTCACACTGTTATATTAGGTAGCTGAAAACAACATTCCCTACAGAATGTCTTCCTAGTATTTCATTCAAGAATCACTATTAGTAAACATGCAAAATTAAACAAATTTCTTATTATTCATTCTAAAGTTCACGTTGACTTCAAAAGATATAGCCAGTTTTTTCTGAGTCAGTAAATAAATTTTAAATTTTGAAAGTATGTCAGGGGCATTCTCACAAAATGGCTACCACAGTGGGCATGACTGGTCACAAAACATTCATTTATTTTAAAAAAATGTCTTCCCTGCTATATATGTATCCCACCACTCTTGTGTACCTTTGATTTTTCTAGGCAAAGCATGTCTTGCAAACATTTTTATTTTTAAAATAAGCTGATGGGTCCTATCATAGTGGGTCTCATAGCATTTTAGGGAAATAAATATTTGAGACTAACACATTGCAGTGTGGCGGCTTCCAATGTATTATTAAAAGAATCTTCAAAAAAATTACGTTGGTGGGCGGAGAGCTTGGTGAACACCAGGAAGGTATCTCCAAACAATCCTAGACGCCTGGGCAAGTACCCTGCTATCCCCTATAGCAGTGTTGTCCAAACTTGGCCACTTTAAGATGAGTGGACTTCAACTCATGCTGGCTGGG